TGGCTGGACTTGAGGAAAGGTGTGGTTTAGCTTCATTTCCACTTTCCCTCGCGCCGGGGAAACGGCGTGACCAGCTCACGGGTGCGTAGCGCAAGGAAGACATGGAAGTTCGGGAAGAGTGACGGTGTTTGTCCATAGGCATGCCGGAGTCGGCAGACAGACACCAGCGCCTCTCTCCATCTCCCACCATTGCGCCCGCCGCGGTGGCAAATTTTCGTCGGCCTCTCTCTCATTGTCTCGTCTTGTCTGCATTCTAAAGTCGTCTGGACTCTCTACATATGCACTCACACCGGACCCGCTAGACAGACCGTCCGCAAAGCGATTGAGGAGCGGCAATTGGCGATTCAGAGCCAGAGATGTTTGTGAGACCCTTTAACGATCGAATGGACAGATTGTATGCGTGTTCGCAAAGATAACGCCGTCTACGCCGAGTTGCCGAGAGCGCTCAGAGTTCCCACGATGAACACGTGGCACTACGGCACCGCATCTCTCCGTCTTCCTCCATGTCTGCGCCTGAAACACTCCCGGATTCCTCGCCTTGCCCTTTCACTCCTCGAGCCCCGTTCGACGATACAACGACAGATGTCATTCTGCACTCCTGGGACGGCGCTGACTTCCACGTCCACCGTCTCGTCCTTTCGCTCGCGTCGCCATTCTTTAAAGACATGTTTGCCCTCCCCCAATCCAACACAGAGGCCACGGCGAGTGTAGCGACGGTTCAAATGTCTGAAACATCCCACGTCCTGGACATGGCCCTGCGAGTCTGGTACCCTGGCGCCGAACCTCCCGCAGCCCAGACACTGGACGAATTTCGCGCAGTGTTTGAAGCACTCATCATGAAATTCGACATGCAATTCCTCGTCCCCTCCGCCAAGAAACAGCTCCGAGAATACCTGGAAGAGGACCCAGTCGCCGTCTTCGCCATCGCATGCCGCCACGAATGGAACGACCTCGCACGCGAAGCCGCCAGACGCAGCCTCCGCCTCCCGCTCCGCGCGTTCGAAGCCGCTCGACCCGCGCGGCTGAACTACATGTCAGCCGACATCTACCACACCCTCCTGCACTACCACTCCGAATGCGCCAAAGCCGCCGCGTGGGCGAGCTCCTCGCTCCGCTGGGCCACGTATCAGGACATCCCCGGGGCCGAGTGCCCTAATTGGACAGATCCTGCGCTGTGTCCGAGGGCAGGGCACTGGAGCTTCGCGCACAGTACAATGGCGCCCATTACTGCGTGGCTCGCCACTTACCTGGCGAGTTTAACAGAGGTGCTCTTAGTGTGCCCTGCCGCGCAAATCGACAGCCCAGAGCTGCTACGGCCGACGATGATTAAAATGGGGTCGTGCTCATCGTGTGCGGTGGACGGATATGCTGCCTTGATGGATTTTCTCTTGATTTTGAAGGCGAAGATTGACGGAAATATTGACGCGGTACGTCCGCGAGCTGCGTGAATCAGGCGTGATGTTGACGCGCTGCAGGTTAAATTAACACTTGACTTCTGAATGATGTGGTAGTGGGAAGTGTAAGAATGTTACTCAGAATGGCACAAGGTCGCATGACGACTAAGGTCCTAGTGGGATCCATACTGCATGTGGTAGACTGCCTGTATTGCAGAGCTCCGAACGTGGACGTCCTCGTCGCTGTGGCATAATCAATACAAACTTACACTAATTGAGGAGTCCCAGAAGCCTAAAGGAAGCCAAAGCCGTCCAAAGAGTTCCGCCTCCAGCGCGGCCCGCAAGATGCGATATTCTCCAACGGCCTGTACGTACGTCCACCTCCGAATCAGGCGGTGGTCGGGAGAGCCTACTTAGGAGCTCCGGGACGTGTTCGAGCGTCCCGCCTGCCACCGTATTCGGGCCGATAGCTCATCTTGGAGAACGGACACTGGCATATATCGCATACTACCGCCGGATGTGGAAGTTTCGGGTGCTTCAAAAACTATCAGAACAAAGTTCGGGACTGCGGACCTTAAGAGCGAGACAATCCGCAGGTAGGATGCCCAGCCGAATGCCGAATGAGTCTAGGGAGGCGAAGTATGTAGTTCCAACTTCTCGACGACTGCGAGGGCTCCCGCTTCCGATTATTTGCCAGATGTACAGATCACTTTACGGATTGGCATTGGCGCATTGCAGGAAAGGAAAAGAGGAGTTCAACGTGACGGCAGAGATATAGATAGATATACATGTACTGTGCATGCGGTTTGAGCACCCATGACAGACTCGGCAAAGTACTGGATCCTCGTTCGATTCGAGGCAGCTGCATTCATGCGTTCACACGCCACTAGTGGTTGTGAAGGCAGACTTGGGTTTAACCGGCAGGTGTCTCGTTCGATTCGGGTCGGGTGTCTAACGTGACGCTTCAGGCTTTTTCGGCGGGAAGATGGGACGGTGGGACATGGAATAATCCTCGAGAAGACGCAATCCGTTGAGTGTTCCAGAGATATTCAAAGGGGTGCGGCGGAGGACAGAGCATTCATGATTCTGGGCATTGTTTGACGTCGCTGGAGGAGTTCTACCGCCGGCGGAGTCGTGTGATGTGTGCAGGCGCGAAATTGTTTGAACACCGTTGCGCACGTTAACGAGTCAAACTGGATTCTCGTAAACATAGGGTTCTTGTCGGTGCCGGAAAGTTGAGGGATTTGGGTATAGCCAGAATCCTCCCCGAGTCGTTGAGTGCTCGCTGAGTCGTCTGAGTCCCGGCTGCCAGTTGTAGAGTTGAGCAGAGGTGACGGTGGTTCGAGGCCACCCGAGAACACATATCTTCTCTGGGGTTAATTTTTGCCTTCCTTTCGTGGCAAATTGCGGTGGCGTGGAGCAGATGCAGTCCAGGCTTGACAGAAACGAGGCAAGCGGTGAGACAAGCGCGGCCAGGTTTTGGTGGAAGGTCGACAAGAAGCTGGGAGACAACAAAGCTAAGTTTTTTTCCCAAGACGGTGTCTGACTGGGAGATTTCGAAGCCAGGAGAGGGCGTGCTGCCGAATTTGCGAATTGCGAAATGGCGACGCTGACCGGACGCGAGGGCCTGGGATGAGTACTAGTGCAGGGGGACGAGAATGCGAGCCTCCTGGCACTATTGAGATCGTCGCGGCGGAGGTGGGAAGCGGGGAAGGCGGGAACCAGCTGTAGACGAGCGCTGAGGGAGTCCGGGATGAGGGTGGGAAGCAAGGGCGGTGGCATCAATGATGCCGGACTTGCATCACGGCGCTTGTTGGGCGCCTGTCGTTCTTCTCTTCTTCACACCACCAACACACCATTGAGCCCGAGCCGCTGAACGACTCCCGACAAAGCTCTTGACAGTACCGCAACCTCGGCCCTGGTTGTCCGTCGTCTTGTCGTCGACCGCTGCCGCACGAGCGCGAATTCTCTCTCCGTCGTACTAGCGTCCGCTCGAGAGTCGAGATTGGGCTCGAGCTTTTTGGGCAAAGTGTTCACCGCGGCGTCCCCATTGTTCTCACCAACTGGACTGATGTTTAACCCACGCCGATCTATCTATCATCTCGGTTCCGGTGCCTGCTCAGTGCTGACCACAAACGGTGACAATCTGGCCTAGCATGCCTTCATCGCTCCTTTTCCACTGCCATTGCCGACGAAGATTGACCCAACCCATCTGCAACAGGAAACATCCTGAGGCTTCCTCGTATCACGACCCCCCTCCATCCCACTCATCGGTCGCCGGGCGCTGAATGCGCTGGTTCGATTCCAGCTGAGGAAATAGGCTTGAATATGAAGGTATTTTTGTTCTGGCACGCCCAAGCACGCGTAATATCCGGTGCGTTCATCCTCGCTCGGCGCAAGCTCCAACAGACTTCCATTGGTAGCCAGCCGTTTTGGGGGGTAAATAACCTATATACCTGACGCCTCCCAAAATATTGCGTATCGGCACGGCGTGGTTCGATTCCACCATGGTCATCGTCAGTGTCGCCGACCTCATCCTTTTTTGCTGCAGGTACTCTGCAAAGAACTCGGTGCGTGCTCTTTCGTTATTCCCCCAGAAAAACGGTTCAGCTCTGAATCACTCGCCGTTTCCTTCCCATTGATTCAAGGGTCTTATGCCGTGCTCTTGTCGGTGGTCGAACTTGCTCTAGCGAAGCAGTCTGTGTAGTGGTGGTTCAATTCCACACGGCGGCATTATTCCTCGGGTTTAAACCTTTTAGATCCCGGATCTTCACGGTACATGGAGACTCCTTCCGCTGCGAGTGCGTACGCACAGTGTCTTCGTATCGCTCAGGCTTCTGAGAGTCATGTCTGCGGGTCGCGGCACGCTGGTTCGACTTCAGGCGAGGACATACAGGGTTGGACGGAGTCGTTTTTTTCCCCTCCCGCATTGAATAACCGTTCGTTCGTTGAGTTATCCGAAGGCAACCAGCATCCTAAATCTCGTGTCTACTCATCGTGAACAACCACCCAAAAGACCGCGTCACGACGCTACGATTTTCGGCGGGTAAGTGATATGTATGCTGAGTTGCAGAAGAATCGGAAGGCAAGGGCTACTGGTCCCCATCGTCACCTACAGTAGGAGGCACGGACCCGGCGACGAAGCGCTCAGTCGAGATCTGGTTTAGCCTCCGCCGTGGGCAGTTGCGGTGGTTCGAGTCCACCTGGGACCGTGCGTCTAGTATCTCCTTTTTGACCAAGGCACTCTCCTCCATGTACTTCACTGGACACGCCGCCGCAATCTTTCGAGCTCCGTCGCTGCTCGTTTCGGCATCTGCAGCGCGCGTGTCAACGGATCAGGATCCTCCCAACCCAGCTTGGGGCGGCACGGAGTCGAGTTGGGACTTCCGAACTACAAGGGACAGCGTGTAACCTTCCTGGATCCCAAATCTACCGGTGCTTCCAATTTAAACTTCAACCTAGGCAATTCAACCGTTTCGGCATCTCGCCGCCGTGGGGCCAAACTCACTCGCGGTCGGTGCACGCTTCGGCTTACATCGACGTGCATGTGCTTTTACTCGGGATGAGTGTCCTGTAGTGGGAGGACTTTCCGGACTCCAAGGGCAAGCTACCGTGGACCGTGGTGGTCGCCCTCCCACGTTAAGATGCGGAGCTTCAAATGACAGAGGGAATCGGAGGTTCGATTCCTCCCGGTGGCGTCCCTTGGTCTTCCGCTTTTTTTCAGCGGAAAGCTTCTTAGTATTTGCAGATTTCAACTCGAGGCAGCAGAAACCTATACTCCTCTTTCGGGAGGTGTGCGCACGCTCAAATTGCAAGGGTTGGAACGAGGTTGGAGTTTTCTTGGAGTACCCATTGCCCTATGTACCATGATGTAGAGAGCGCCAAACAATGAGCGCGGCTGAGAAGCGAATAAGAAGGGAGTGTTGCGTTTGAATTTGGTAGCAAGTGTCGGAAAAAAGTTAAATTGCTTGGAAGGGCTTGAGCCGGCTTGCGGCCTTGAGACCGCTTGAGAGCCGCTGAGCCAGGGCTTCCAAGGTGTCTCAAGCCGTCTTGAGATGCCGGGGTGGCTCCCAAGCGGCGCCAAGCCACCGCAAGATAGGTACATACGACTTGAGAGGCCTTGAGGCGCCTTGCGGGTGGCTTATTTTCCAGCCGCCAAAAGAAAAAAAAAATAGTCGATATTATTCACGCGTAAGTATATGTCCTCGTCGATACAATCAACAATGTAGTGCATGCCCTGCTTCCCGCCAAAAATTGGACATAACAAAGCACCGCGCACGATATGTTCAATCCAGCGCAATGAAGGTCGATGATTGCTGCGAGAGCTGCTCTCGAACGGGGCGGTCGGTCGATGTCTTTGGCTGCCAGCGCGTCTTGCGAAATGGGCGGACCATAGCGAGGTCAATGTCGGTGTCGTTGTGGTGATGAAGTTTCGGTGTTGTTGCGCCGGCGAGCTTCCCGTTCGGGCTCGGAGTCGGAGACGTGGGTCGTGTCCGAGCGCATGCGGCGAGGACGCTGTCGAGAGGGCATTTGGTTTGGTGGCCCGTGGAGGTCGATGCGGGAAGAGTGTGGAGCAAAGTGACGTCACACTTTGGCTGTGCTATATTAGCGCTAGTGATGTTTTGGCTTGGCTTGGCTTTGAAACCCTGGCTTTGGCTTGGCTTCGTCCGGCTTTGGCTTCGTATTCTTCAAGCCAAAGCCAAAGCCACCAGAGCTGGCTTGGCTTGGCCTGGCTTTGGCTTAAGCCGGGGCTTTCGGCTAGGTTTATTCCCACGGTTCAGAATATTCTGAAGGTGTTTAGAACTACTTTTTCAACCTGCATAGCACACCGGGAAAGGTTGGATGATGCCTACATCCATATGCAGCTTGAATGAAGCAGTTGGAGAGGTAAACAGCTCAAGGTAAATTTTATTACATGCTTGGCTAGTCGAAACACTACTGAATCTGAACCTGGTTGAAGGGTTGATATATGGTGGGGAGAGTTGGAAGTACGGAAATGGACTTGCAGTTGGGATTTTGAACAAAAAATCATGTCTCAACAGGTCCCCACTCACCGGTGCAAAGCCACGGCTTAAGCCCCGGCTTTTGGCTTCGCCATCCCGAAGCCAAAGCCAAAGCCATCTGCAAGCCAAAATTTTGGCTTGGCTTGGCTTGATCAAGCCGGGGCTTTGGCTTCTTGGCTTTTGGCTTGAAGCCAAGCCACGAGCATCACTAATTAGCGCCACAGCCGCACTCGCCCCACCCTTCTTTCCCTCTTACCACCATCACCACCCGCCACGCCAAGCGCCCACGACGCCCATCCCCAACGACACCAGCCGCCCACAACACCCCATCGACCCTGGACTCCCGCCCTCGGAGTCCCTCATCCTCTACCGCGACCCTATTACTGTACCAGTCGCGCGCACACTTGGTGCGCCTTCGAGGAGTTTAACGGATTCAAGGTGCGTTCAGCTATTTATTCACTTGTTGTCCATTTCTGACTGACCTACCTTCCGAATTCAAGCCTTGGTTCGTCTCAATTTTGTGTTCCCTTCCAACCACTGACTCTCACTTCAGTCGAAAGTTAGCAATATAATATGGTTGTGGTGCGTCCCTTTCTTCCTCCCCATTTCTCTTCTCTCAAATATTGCTAGGTGCTGGTTGTGCAGCCCTCCCGAGTCAACCAGGTGCGTGAATTTCCGAGTCGCAATCTCTTTTCATTCGTTTTCTCTACCAAAATGTCGTAGTTTACATCTGAATATATTACACTCTGACCTACGCTGGTGTGAATTGGATTCGTGGAACCACTGGATAAGACTCAGGATAAATTGATCAGCGCGGTCCCTTTCGGAACATGCTGAGTTGTAACGACATTACATCTGGCCTGTAGATATACTGCCACTACACCCCACTCCACTACCTTCGACGGTTACTACCGCTTTTAAGGAGGCCTATCTAGGGCGAGCGAAACGAAGTTAGTTATGAAACGCACCCATCGGTGGAACCTGCTGAGGAAAGCCACCAGTGGGCCAAGGCCTTTGGAACATGGGATACACATGCATAATGATCGCTCTGGACACCCACCGACCACTTGAACTCAAGTTCAACTTGCGACCAGCGGCTAATGAGATGACGACATCGGAAAAATCGGCCGCGCATGGTCCGTGCGCTTGGTACCAAATGGATCCTTTGCAAATCAACGCGCAACACTCCCGCCGCAAAACCCACAAATTCTCGGAGTCGTTCAGGACAGGTTTGGGGGACACAAGGCAGGGTTCAAGGTTCAATTTCCAGGACAACAGGCTCCTATTAAGTGTAATTCATGGTATTCCACCACCACCGCCGGACAGGGATCCGACGACGACGACGAAATTGCTCGAAAAGAGGAGCGCGAGCCCTACAGCTCTTGGGACACCGATGTAAAACTATTTGAGGCACTTTTGAGTGCTTAGTCGACCAGAGGGCGGAGGAAGGCGGAGGAGAAGGGATTTTGAGGAAAAGATGATGGTGGTTTGGGTCAGGATTGTGTGTTCTGGTAATGGGCAGTAATGAGCCCGGTATGCCCTGCCAAATGCGCCCTGCTCTCGACGTCTTGAGACTCATTAGGAGGTCATTTGGCACAAGTGACCTTGAGACTCGTGATGTGGCTTGAGACGGGTCTTGGGAACCTGACGTATGAGTTCCAAGCCCCTTAAAACCAAATGACCTTGAGACGGCTCACGACATCTTAGGCGCCGTTGCAAGCAATTTAGTTTTCTTCCGACAAGCGCCTCCGCGTCGTTCGATCATCGTGCAGATCGAGGAAGGACCCGAATTCCGTAAGTAGAAGGAGGCAATGAGCATTCGCTGCAATGTCGATGCCAGAACTCTCGAGGATATATAGACAGTCGGATTAAGTAGTCCAGAATAAATAACATGGCCCAGCAACTTCCTGCTGTACACTGAATTTCTCACACTCCACCCTACACCATCCCATGCCCATTCCCACGCTCCACCGACGAATCCGAACCTCCCCATCGACCGCCGGCCGCAACAAGAGCGCCCCCCAGTCGTGCCAGTCCAGCCTCAATCTTTCGCAGCCGGACCCCGTTCGCCTCCAAATCCAAATCCGAATTGCGCCGTGTGTCGGGCGATACCTCCATCGGATCCGCACCGAAGTCCTCCACTGCAAGCACCCCAGCGATCGTGCTACCGGCGCCGCGGAGGTTGAGGTCGCTGAGGTCGCTGACGGTGTGGTCTGCCGTGCGCGCGTTGGTGTTCCCGAGCTGTTCTGCGTCCCATTCGCGGAGGTAGAGGATGAAGCGGGCGGTGAGGAGGCAGGATAGCCTGACACAAATTCAGTACTGGAGTAAAGAATGCAAGGAAGAACGCACGGCAGTGTGAACGCGTTGGGGAGGCGTTGGAGGAAGCCCGGCTGGCGTGCAAATATAAAAACTTAGTGGTCGTCGGTCGGATGAATGGTGGGAAGGACGAACCGGGGCGCGTTGTGGAGGGGTTAAGTCGTCTCGAGACGAGATTACGGGCGTGGCGACTCACATAGTTCAGAATTACTGCGGCCGTGGTGAAGATGGCTATGACACTATCAATCGTTGAGTATCGTCGCCACGGAGAAGCTGAGATGATGAACTTGTCTCACCAGAAATACAAGATGCCTGGCCGGTACATGAGATGCGATCGCGAGACGATCGGGAGGGAGACACACCTTGTTCGAATAACTTGAAGAAGATTCCCTGCCGCTGATTCTCCAACCCGCCGGCGCGGAAGGCAGTGATACATCTCCCGGCGGTCAGGAAGGCCGACGATGCTTCGAATACAACCATCAGGATGGATAGCAGTTGGGGCGCTGTTGTGCCAAATTTAAAAGTCGTGCACAGGGGGTTGAATTTATAGACAGACCTCTGCGAGATAATCAGGACTGCCTCAGAGTTGGGTGGAGTTGGGGAGTTATGAACGGATAGAATGACGTACATTGGCAGGCTGGATGAACCCACGCAGCGCATGCCGGGAACGTGTGTCTACCGGTCGCAGTTAGCATATATAGTTCAGTGGAGATGAGACGGCGCACGATGTCGAGGGCCACGCATGCAAGCCCCAAGATGCTCATGTAGCCCAGGATCCACTTGTTCAGGCCGTACACGGCGTATGTCCGCAGGGTGAACACCGCTAGTAGTAGTCAACAAATAGATTAGCTGGGGATATCACAACTTCCGAGGGGATGTGCGACGACGACGTGCCTATCACGGCGGCGCGGCCCAGGATACTGAGCGCGCCGACTATTTTGTACCACGAGTCGCATCTGGAGTCAGAATCCGTGTCAGCGAGCAAATACTTCGCTTTAACGGGCAGCGAATAAATTCGTACTGTGGCGAAGGAGGGAGGAACAGGATTAGCGCAGTTGAGGGCAGAAAGCGGAGCGAGCTCACCGTGGAGCCCAGTTTCCCGGCTATGGCGAGCAAATAGAGGACATTGGCCACCAGGGCATATCGACAACCGAGGTACAGCGCCGTCGACAAGCGAAACCTCTCCTGCCACACATACCGCACTTCCCTTGGAAGCGTCAAGGCGAAGTCGTAGTAAATCAAAGCTGTATGTATTGTTTCGGTTCCTGCGGTTATGAGAGGACGACGATTCACTTACCCAGGCTAGCGTATTGGAGTCGGAACTGCAGGAAACTGTGGTGTGCGTCAGGTTGTAGGACTCCGACATCGTGAAGTGAGCG